TATTTTACCCAAGTCTAAATTAAAAGTCCTAATAGATTCTGGAGGATCAGATACCATTGCTACCAAATATTTTAATCCGTCTCATAAATACAAAAAACCATTTAAATTAACTGCAATGGAAATTACGCAAACTTTTAATGACAATATAAGAACGCCACTGCTTAGCGAAATGAACATATCTGTGTTATTTGACGCCAGAGTTGCAAATTTCAGTCGAGATTTTGATATTTTACTAGGTAATGCGGATCTTGAGAAATTAAACGCGGTCATTAACTATAAAAATATGTCACTGACATTAAATACGTATAACACTAGTTATAGGATTCCTTTTAAAACGTTGTATAATAAAATTCCAGTAGACATTGATAATGGAAATATATTGCTTCAAGAAATTATAATAAATAATATAAAATTACCTGAATCTATTCATACAGTTACAAATGGCTATATTAATAATATCACATTTGATAACCGGTACAAATGGATCCGATTCATGTAGAGAATTTAGATGACTACGAAATGTGTAAAGGACCCACGAATTTTGACCCTTCAATTATACGCACGCAACATTTAAATGAAGAAGAAAAAGAAAAAATTCTAAAATTATGCAAAAGATACAAGGACATATTTTACGATGAAAAAGCACCATTAACCTTCACTTCGGCAATAAAGCACGAAATAAGGACGCACGACGATAATCCATATATGTCAGAGGATTTCGCCACCCAAAAAGTATGCAAGAAGAAATAACCAGAAAAGTGAATAAACTTCTTGACAATAAAATTATTAGACCATCTATATCACCTTATTCAGCCCCTGTATGGGTTGTACCCAAAAAAGCCGACGCATCCGGCGAGAAAAAATTTAGAATGGCTATCGACTACCGCAAATTAAATGAAAACACAGTAGATGATAAGTACCCCATACCTAAAATTGATGACATTTTAGATAATTTAGGCAAAGCGACATATTTTACGACTCTCGATTTAGCTCAAGGTTTCCACCAAATCGAACTAAATCCTAATTCTATTGAGAAAACCGCTTTTACGGTTCCCCATGGTCATTTCGAATTTTTAAGACTTCCTTTTGGTCTCAAAAATGCCCCAGCTACTTTTGAAAGACTAATGGATAATATTTTACGCCATTACCTATACAAATTCTGTTTTGTCTATATGGATGACGTTATTATTTTTTCGAAATCATTGCAAGAACATCTTGTTCATATTTCTACCATATTTGACACTTTCAGGGAAACTAATCTTAAGGTTCAGCTAGATAAATCAGAATTCTTGACGAAAGAAGTCGCATTTCTTGGACATGTAGTCACGCCCGATGGCATAAAACCCAATCCTTCCAAATTAGATGCTATACAGAACTACCCTCTTCCGAAAACATTAAAGGAAATCAAATCTTTTCTTGGACTCATCGGTTACTACCGTAGATTCATCCCTAATTTTGCTAAAATTACATCCCCATTTTCTCGTTGTACACGCAAAGGAGCTATTATCGACCCTAAAAATCCCAATTATTTAGAGTGCTTCGAAAAATGCAAACAATTACTATCCAATGCCCCAGTTCTTAAATATCCTGACTTTACAGTACCTTTTGTACTAACAACAGATGCCTCAAATATTGCAATAGGCTCTGTCTTAACACAAAATAATGACCCAATTGTCTATTACTCCCGCACATTAAATTCCGCAGAACAAAATTATTCGACGACCGAAAAAGAGCTTTTAGCAATCATAGATTCCTGCAAACATTTCAGGCCTTATTTATATGGAAAAAGATTTACCGTCGAATCCGATCATAACCCACTGGTGTGGATCTATAAAATTAAAGATCCCACATCAAGATTAGCTCGGTGGAGATTAAAACTTAAAGACTATAATTTTACGGTCAAATACAAAAAAGGAAAAGAGAATCAAGTAGCAGACGCCCTCTCTAGAGTTCAAATCAACGCATTAACTCACAGTTACTACCTAATCAAAAATTTGCAATTAAAGTACCACACGAATTAAGGCCATTTATTTGTAACTATTTTAAAGATAATATAAATACAACGGTAAAAGTCTTCTTTTGCAATACTATATTACAAGACATTGAAGAAGAAATAAATCAAATAGAATGTGTAAAAAGGTATCATACCGAAAATCATAATGGCATAACGGAAACGTACAAACACAAAGCGAAAATATTACTGGCCTTCTATGCAAACAACTATCTCAAATTTTATCAACAAATGTGAAATTTGTCTAAAGAACAAATACGAACGACACCCGTACAAACTTCCACAATTAGGACCTTTGTTAGGACAAAAGCCCTTCGATATTTTACACATAGACATATTTTATTGTAACAAAAATTTATATCTGACCATAATTGACTCATTTTCCAAGTACGCGCAATGCTATAAAATTCCTGACAAAACCACAATTTCAATTTTGAGTAAACTAAGACATTATTTTTGCACCACAATTATCCTAGAAAAATCGTATGTGACAATGGCACAGAATTTAATTCCTCTTTATTAATAGAATTCATGAAGCTACATAAAATAGAATTACATTTTACCACAGTTAATAATTCTTCTTCCAATTCTCCAGTAGAACGTTTCCACTCTAACCTAATTGAAAAATTAAGAACGTTACGTGACCAAAATCCAAATGACCCAATAGACGACATATTTACTCATGCTGTTTTAATTTATAATCAATCTATTCATAGCGCGACCAATTTTTCGCCTTTTTCAATACTTTACGGACCATACACCGAGAAAATACATTTCGACTTTAATCTTCCAGTATATGAAACATACGTTCAAAGACATAAAGAAGAATTGCAACCATTTTTAAGTAACTTATACACAAAACAAAAAGAGAAAAGACAAGACATACTAAATAAACAAAACCAAAATACTGAATCTATACCTGAAATTGAACCCACACAAACTCTGTATGTTAAAAAGAAAAAACACAAAGCAAAGTTAAATGCCCCTTATTCTACAATAAATCCTACAACCCAAAATAAAACAAAAATCATTGGTAAAACTAATAAACAAAACAAAACAAGCACTCACTTAAAATTTGTAAAAAGACTTAGAAAAACTTACGACAAACGCATACAAAACCAAAATTCTTTGCAGGACGACCCTGTTGCTGGGCCTTCAGGCCACTGTCAAAATTCAGACGATTTCGAATAATGGATACTACTCCGAAGAAATTGGAAAATCCAAAGAAATCTCCCACTATCACCGACATATCCTACATATCAACTTAGAAAAATTAGAAGACATTCTAAACATCAACCCTGATGACCATTTTCAAACTCCGACAAAAATGGGACCATTAACCTTACTAAAATCCCAATACGACCACTTACTTAACGAAACGAAAGACAATTTGCATAAAATAACTAGGAGATATAAACGAGGACTTTTTAACTTTTTAGGTACCGCTATAAAATATGTAACCGGAAATCCAGACGATGCCGACTTAAACTTATTAAAATCACATATCATTGCTTTAGAAAATAAACAAAATGAAGTTATAACATTGTTTAACAACCGCATCTCCTTTGACAAAACTGTTTCCACGAGATTTAATACTTTATTAGAACAAATTACAAAAAATGATCAAATACTTTTCACAAAAATTAAGAGATTATCGGCAGATTTTGATGGATACGCTGTAATACATAGTGATATTTTAAATTTACAGATTATTAACGAATTTTTAATGAAATTAGTTAGAACTATCACTCTTTCTTATTTTAATTTGTCAAATATTGAACTTTTCACATTAAAAGAACTTTTAGACTTAAAAGAAAATTTAGTAAAAATTTATTCTACGAATTCTTTATTAACTGATAATGAACATCCTTATGAACTCGTTGAATCTTTTAAATCTATTATTTGTGTTACTTCTAAGACTATGCTCATTATCCTTAAAATACCAATCCTTATTGAAAATTCCTATTTAACATTTAGAATTTACCCAATCCCTAACGATGATTACGTTATGATTTTAACACCAGCTCAATTTTTTGCCAACAACAAATGGTTCGAAAGTTGCACCGGCCAAGCAGACTACGTCATTTGTACGAAACCATTCACTTCCAAATGTCTTATTCCTAATGTACAAAACTGCACTAAAGCACTAGTTACCGAAAACTTTGTACAAGAGACCGATAAAGTTATCCTGTTAGGAGTTGTTAGACCAATAAAAATTAAACAAAAAGATGTCCAAGTAAGCAGCATTTTGATGTCAAATGAAACCGTACTTATAGAAGGAATTACATATGCCAAGAAAACAATTCAACAGATTCCAATCCCCGAAGTCATTCCAATTAAATTGATGCCAGATAAAAAATTGAAAATAGAAAAACTAAAAATTCCAGAAACTCATGGCCAAATTCAACCCATTGTTCACCTGCAAAACCTACCGGAGATTTCAACAGGACTTGGAGCCACAGCCATATTTCTAATAATTTCTGTTTTAGCAATATTATTGACAATTGTAATTAAGAAAAAGAAGAGAATTTCCAAATTGCTCTACGGACCCAAACTACAGCCATCCCAAATCTCGATATTAGAAGCCATATTCAAAGAGACTTCGAGGACGAAGTCAGATCCAAAGGAAGGAGGAGAAATATAGTCGCCGCCTCTGGAGAATGCAGAGACAGCCAAATAATATTATAAATTAGCGAGACACATGTTCCCGGTGCCTATTTATATTTCGAAAGTTATCTTTATTTTGTAGTTCAAAATTATTGTTAGTTTTAATTGTAAATAAATCTTTTTTAAAAGTGACTTAGAAGTGTTCCTAATATTTCTATATATATATACATATATATATATATATATATATATATATATATATATATATATATATATATATATATATATACCCTTATCCAATAACTAAGTGTTAGTACAATTTTTTTTATGTAATTAAATCTATCTCTAATAATCTCATGATTGTGCAAACTCAAACTCTTACCGGACTATCTACGATTTTAAATCCCGCCTTTCTTAAATATTCCTTGTAGCTGTCGGTTCCTATCATATATATTTTTTTCTGGTAGTTCATTCGTTGTAGGTAATCTAATACTGCCATCTGGGGATTAAAAATATCGTTGATATCCACAGTTAAATTCATACGAAGTAATTTTTGCAAAATTTCATCAGGAGTGTTTAGAGCATTGTTTGATACGAAGCTTACAGATTTTCCGAGTCGTTTAAACTTATCTAAACATTCTTTGGCTCCAGGTATTACTGTATCTGCTAATTTAACCACGCCTGTAATCAAAATAAATTTATACTAAATATATCCATGGACAAAAATATCGAATATTTTGAAATTTTCTATTTTTTTTTTTTGAAAATAAATTCTGGCCAATCAAGTCGTTTATTGTGAAAAATAGTATATTTTAACAATGTTTAGTGAACAATTATGCGTAGGAAGGGTTTTTACTCTAAACTTAAATTACTTAAATAAGCCTTTTTAATTGAAAAAGGTGCATGTTCAGTACCGAGTATTTCCCCATGTAGCTTTTATTACTGCTTGCATACTTCTTGGCATGCGTGTAAGTAAATTTTTGGACATACCCTTGGAAAATAGCATTTCATTCATCCTGTGCAACAAGCCGAAGCTGCTCTGTCGTATTTGGAACGGGATTTCTTTCTCGTATGTGGAGTTTTAGCTGATCCCACATGTGCTTTTTGCTCTCGACTTTTTTTCGCGTTTAAAATGTGGACATTTAGAAGATTGTTAAACCTTCCATGGGTAGATAGAGTTACGAATGCATAAGTGTTAAAGAAGAATAGGAAGAGAGAAAGAAATATAAAATATAATAAAAGAAAGAAAATTGCAATATCTCGGACATGTAATGTGACATCTTGAGACTCCTCGAGATGTTGAATCTTTCGCCTCTCATTACATGTCCGAGATATTGTAATTTCTTTTCTTTTATTGTATTTTATATTTCCTTCTCTCTCTCATAGCAAAAGAAAACAGGACCAAAGAAGATGTAGCCTTACTAATACACCAATGGTACCAAAATCACATCAAAGAGTGTCAATACATATCAGAAAGAATAGTAACAACAAAGATAAGAATGAAGAAGAAAGACATGAACATCATCGTCGGAGTATACGGCCTACAAAATAACAAATCTCAAACAATGAGGGAAGCGTTTTACGCTTCCCTTGTTCGACAACAACAACAACAACAAATTACAATAAGTAATAGATTAAGTCAGAGTAAAGATGATAATATTGGGGGATTTTAACGCTCGAATAGGCAACCAAGTAATACTCGGCATCAAACAAAAACATAACGAGAATGTTAAAAACGAAAATGGAGAACTGATGATCAACTTCCGCACTAGTAACGAACTAAGAATAAACAACACATTTTTTGACAACAAACACCAACACAAATATACATTTAATAACATCCGTGGACAAAGATCTGTGATAGATTATATTATAACCAACAGAGATATACATCCTTCAAAAATAATCGACGTAAGATGCCTCAACTCAGCAGATGTAGGTAGCGACCATAGCCAAGTATTATGTAAAACAAGAATAATCCTGAAATACTTCCCACCCAAAAGAGCAGCGCCAACACAAACAAAAATCAAAGTCGAAGGAATAAATACGGAATCGAGAGAATACTTATACCGGAAAACATATCAGAGACGATCGCTGAGAATGAAATATTAAAAAACGATAACATCGAGGAAAGCTGGGAAAAACTGAAAAATAATATAATTAACGCAGTAACAGAATCACTTGGAGAGACAAAAGTAACGAGCACTAACATATCAAAAAAGAAAACACCACGGTTTTGAGAGGAAGTGAAGACAAAATGCAAAGAAAAGAAAAAAGCATTTTTACAATACAGAACACAACAAACACAATAGGCATACAACCACTATAAACGAATCAGAAATAAAACGCATACTTTAGTTAGACAAATAAAAAAGGAACACAGGCAGGTTTCTACGGAACACAAAAAGAAATATGGAGAAAGACCAGAGTACAAAGAAAAGAGATGAATGAACTAATAAAAGCGAAACACATTCAGAAGGAAACATGGGCAGACTACTTTCGATCCCTGTTTGCTAAAGGTGACGATGATGAACCACCAACACCAGAGGCGACGACAAACGATGAAATAAATATTGAGGAGGAAGAGGTAAAGGAAGCATTAACGAAATTTAAAAAAAATAACCAGGAGCGGACAGAATACCAAACGAACTCCTAAAGTACGGAGGATCAGATCTAAGCAAACAACTATTAAAACTAATTCAAAATATAACAGAACAAAACAGAATTCCTCAAAATGGAAATCCATCATCCTAATGCCTCTCTTCAAAAAGGGAGACAAATCGAACGCGGAAAATTACAAAGGAATTAATTTATTAAACACAACACTAAAATTAACAACCAAAGTGATACCAAATAAATTGAATGAAATTATAACACTAGCAGAAGAACAACAAGGTTTTAGGTCGGGAAGATAATGGACCGACGCTAAATATATAATGAGACAAGTGCAAGAGAAATCATTAGAATACAACAAACCGGCATATCTATGTTTCGTGGACCTTACAAAGATATTGGACCGGATCAAATTAAAAGATGTTATCCACTTACTGTATGCAAGAGTGATGCCTCTAGGAATCATTAAAACGATCAAAAATATCTACCAAAACAACACAATAAAAGTAAAAGTAGAAAAAGAACTAACCGACCCTATTGACGCTGACAATGGGATAAGACAGTTAGATTCCCTGAGTCCTCAATTGTTCAATCTGAATATGGATGAAATAGTAAAAAAGTAAGAACTAAAAAGGCTACCAAATGGAAGAAAAACAACTTAAAATAATGTGCTATGCAGACGACGCAATACATCTCTCTCAAAGTGAAGATGATTTACAACGTTTGCTGCACCAATTCAATATAACCGCCAGAAAATTTAACATGTTAATTTTCCCAAAAAAAACAAAATGCATGGTTATAACAGCAAATTTACTAAGATGTAAATTGGAGGTGGAAGGTGAGATAATACACCAAGTGATGGAGTTTAAATATCTAGTCATCACATTATCTAGCTACGGAAGATCGAAACCGAAATGAAAGATCAAGTGAATAGAGTAAACAAAGTAAATGAAACAATATGGAGAAATAAAAATATCGGGAGAGAAACGTAAGGCAGAATTTACAAAACAGTTATCAGACCAATAATGACATACGCGGCAGAAACAAGACCTGACAGAGAGAGGACAAAAAGGATGTTAGTCACAGCAGAGATGAAAACACTTTAAAAAATTGATGGTAAGACACTATAGGACAGAGATAGAAGTACAGATATACGACAGAGATGCAAGGTAACGAACATCGAAAACTGGGTAAGAAATAGAAGAGTAGAATGGAACAATCATATAAGCCGAATAACAATAAATACAGTAGTAAAGACGGCAAGAAACGGCTCCCCAATAGGAAGACGATCAGTAGAAAGACCACGAAAACGATGGAATGACAACTTACCGGAGGCAAATTGAAAAACAGACAGAGTCATGTCTATATCAAATAAAGAAGAAAAAGAACAAGAAAAAATTAGTTGTGCGGTGTTATTCATGATCTATGTAGAAAGATTACCTTACAAAAACAAATTAAATTTAATGATATACTCATAAAATATTCTTTTAACTTACCATCCAAGTCCAACAGAAGATGATCAATTCCATCAACAAATCTGAGCTGCTCCTCCTCTGAGACTTCTAAAAGATTACGCATCTCTTGCTGCCTATCTTTCCTCGCGAAGGCGAATATCACTATAAAAATCAGTATAGTCAAACCTAACAAAATTATAACTGGTTTTAAAACGTTGCTTTTAGAAGGTTTCATGATGACTTAACTATTTGATGGATCACTTAGCGGGTATATTTTATTTACATACTCATTCTAAAATAAAAAAGTATTTTATTCCCTTATATAGCCTATTTAAGTAATTACGTTAATTTACGTGAATGTTTTTTGTTAAAGAAAATTAACTCATACAGAATTTTATATGGTGTTGGCATGCAGTTTATTGCAAGAGGATTAAATGTGCTGATTTGGTTTATAGTACAGTTAGATTAACAAAAATATACGGTTGATAAGGTGCTCTAGTTCGTTTTAGTAAACTTGAAGTTTGTGTTCAATTTATTTATAATTTATATGGTTTATAATTCTCATAATGGGTTCAATTTTAAATTATTTATATAAACTGTGTAATTACAAGCTACGCACTTAAAAAATTGATTGAACTTTAAATTACTTCATGTTTGAAATAAAAAGCATAATTTTTTTGTTTTTACCTTAATAATTGCCGCAAGCTTTTTATATCCGAAAAAATTTCATCTGTAGCGTTTGCATAAATTATTTTGGGATCTTATCTTATTTTTATATTTAAACTTAAAAAAATTTTACACAATAATGGTAACATGGATGATGCGTTAAATTTTTAAGAGGTGTGAAAATTTCAATAAATTAATATTTTTTTACAAAAGTTAAGATGTAAAGAAAAATCTTCAATTCTTGAATGCTCCACCACACATACACAAACACACATGAGTTCATCAAAACTCCTAGAAATATGAGTGTTCCAGTGCTAGTCAGTGGGACCCTCATGTCCAAAGATCAAACCGCTTTCGTTCCAAAAGAGTAAATCATTTTGGCTCGGTACCTATCTGACCCCTAGATTTTCCCTCCACTCCTCCCCTGTGTTTGACATGCGCAGAGGAGGCATATGAACTATTACGTCAGGCGATTTGGGAAAAGAAAACACCCTCCGTTTTTCATGACTTGTGGTTGGGCCACCTGACTCTAGGGTTAGCTTAATGTAGCTTTTCTCCCTATTTACTTTACTGAATTTATTTGTGAGTTGACTTTGGGTTCTGTATCCCAGAAAAATGTATATTCAGGAGATTCTTCGTCATCGGAATTCTATAAACTATGAGCAATATCTTGCAGTTAGTTCTGCAGCTGATATTGGTTTTCGGGACGTTTTATTTGCATTATCTTAGCTTAGTTAGCTTAGCTTAGTTGTCGACACTAACATCGCTATCAAACGACTGATAGCAGATGCATTATTTATTTTAAAATATGTACCTATAGTTTATACCTAACAAAATTATTACATTCCAACAATACAATGATTATCAGTTTTTAAAATTCACTTAGAATAGATACACCACCTATTGTAAGCATCTCCTTGATGTTTACATCAAAGTGATGTTTACATTGTTTGTTACACGTTTAGACTTTATTATTGGATTTCCGGAATCATAAAAGTCGTTTAGATAATCCACAAAAATATTACTTGACTACCAGATTACCTTATGTAACAAAGATTTAGACTTTAGGTATAAATACAAATAGGGTCCGACGCGCCAATGTTGCCCCGCAGTTTCAGAGTCCGGATAGGACAAGTCCTGTCCGAACTCGGGAACCCGGAGGCTGGAGTACCACAGGGAGCGGTACTGTCACCTCTGCTATACTCGATATACACAGCAGACATACCTAGAACACCAGGTACACTATTAAGTCTCTATGCCGACGACACAGCAATAGCGGCCAAACACAGAAATGTAGACATAGCAGTCACCAATCTACAGACCGCGTTAGACGACATTGAAGAATGGAGTCTAAAGTGGAAAATTAAAATCAACTCAGATAAGACACAAGTTGTACTCTTCCAAAAAAGGCGAGAAAGACCAGAAGAACAGGTCACTGTGCAAGAAAATCCCATTGAGTGATAAAGCAAAGAGAATTACCTCGGAGTAATAATGGACAAAGGACTAACCTTTAACAAACACGTAGAAGCTACGGTACAAAAAGCAAACATGGCAAGAGCCGCAATAAGAGGCCTAGCAGGACGGAAAAGCAAACTGCGAATAAAAACCAAAATAAGACTAATAAATAGTATAGTCCTCCCTATACTAACCTACGCGTCACTTGCATGGGGACACATATGCAACACAACTAAAAAGAAAATACAGGCACAACACAACAAAAGCCTAAGAGAAGCGGTAAACGTACTAAGATACGTAGCAAAAAGATTTCTATTCAGAGAATTACAGCAAATCAGAGTGACTGACACTATGAAAGAAAAAGCCAGGGAAAAGTTCGCAGAACTAGAGAATCACCCCAGTCACATTCTACGAGAGATAATGAGGTATGACGCTTTCCACAGATGGAAGCACAAAAGACCAAAACAACAAATATTAGATTAACGCAAAACCAGAGAGAAAAATAAAAAACCCCCCAAGAGGGACAAAATTCTATAAAAAGCCCAGAGTGAGAAGAAAATCCAATCAAAACACACACACACACACAAGGAAGACAGTTCGTAGCTTAAATCACCCAGAATATCGCAAATCGTCTCATACACAGTGGGCCCTGTTGCTCGCACAAGAATACAGACTATATTGTGGTGACCTACAAAAAAAATCACAAAAAACACAAAAAACGGCTTCGGTCACCAAAAAAATCAAAAAAATACTAACAAAAACCGGCTTCGGCCACCAAAAAAAAAATTAACAAAAACCCCTAAACCCGGGCACGTAGGGCCCAACCCCCTTGAGCACCAAGTCGCTGAACTGAGCCGGGACTCAGAGCGGAGACTTGAGGCCCAAGTAAGCAATTTTAGTTCGCGGATAAGCTACATTAAGATAACCAGGAATAAAGCGGAGATGCGCTGTCCTAAGTTTTCACATACGGTTAGGAAACCATGTTGGGGTTCTATTACCCAGGACCTCCACATGAAGAGCACTTGGCTGATTGTTGTGCCTCTATAGCGAATCAGATTGCTATAGGGGGAAAAGGGATGGTCTAGAGCATTGGAGCACGGTGGGGTGATTCCTGTTGTTAAACTCGAATTAAAACACCTTGTTCCAATGAATTGTTACACCCGATCGTACTACCTGGGTGAACATTTCTCATAGGCTGGGTTCAATCAAATTGCTTGCTTGCTTGCGCCAATGTTGCCCCTTTACGTGACAAAATTCTTTTTCTCACGTAAAGGGACAAATATTTTGAATAGCTCATTACTATGTTGAAGGAAACATACTTCTAAACAAATTCAGTGATGTAAAAAATTCAATCAATGTTTTTTAATAAGTTTATGATAAACGGATTGGCATCTCGGATCAGTTAGAGCCACCGTGCCCGGATAAGGGTTAATGTCGTTGGTACATAAATAACCATTACAGTTGACATATTTGATAACTCTCGATTATTTTATTTGTTATATTTATTATTTGATGAGTATCACTAAGCCCTTACTACTTAGCTTCCTTTTGTATAGATATATTTATTTTGTCAACGAACAAGATAAAATAGTAATAGAACAAATTTGCTTAAATTTCCACTTCTTGTCTAAAGTACAGTAAGGATCGTTTAATGCCAGTAAAATTACTAATATTTTATAATTTTTAGTACTTAAAACAATTGAATAATAATCACACACCGGCTGATAAACACGTATGGAGTATAATTTAGTGATCGTTTCCTTTACTATAAATATCTATGCGATTTTCTTTTTTAGTAAGTAAAGTTTAGAAACCCTTTAAGATGAAATTTATTTTTGTGGTTGTGGCATTTTTATTATTATTTACATATGTACAGGCAGTTTTATCTTGCATATGCCCCGAAATATGGCTTCCAGTATGTGGTTCAGATGGTCGAACTTATCCTAACGAGTGTACCTTGGATTGCTACAAGAAGACAAATCCATGTCTAGAACTTGCTTATCGCGGAGAATGTTAAGGTTATAAAATAGAAGATTATATCTAGCTGAAAAGAACACTTTTGACAATTTCACTAAATAAATATTAAGTATTATTGGAGTCTTGTTTATTTAACACACGATTATTACCAAGTAAGTTTTTATAAGTTTCTTATAGTTTCCATTGTTCTTGTTCTAGACTATTGTATGTATTCTATTTCTACATTCTACATTTAGCATATTTTTTGACATTAGAAACGATCTCCACACAAGGACTACACTCTTCCTCGGCCAAACTGTCGCCAATTTGGCAAAACAAGTTTTGGTCTCCTTGCCGGCAGATTAATCGATGGGTCTGCCAATCGAGCCCATGTATATCGCACACGCTTCGGTGCTCAGATTTTGCGATTGCTTAGGGTAGAGTTGTCCTGAAGGGCTGTTTCCTGAGGGGTCTTTTTGCCTGAAGATTATGCCTGAGGGGCCTTGGCCTGACGGATCTGTGTCCAACTGATTTATAATGAGTTTACTAATTAACACATTGATTGTTAGTATAGGTTTTAGGTAAAATAATAATAGAAGGAAGGCGTTTATGAGTGGAATGTGCATTCCCAAGTATGTAATGTTCTCACCCATTCCGTGAAAATGTTTTTGAGTTTTGTTTTTTATAGCTTAAACCAGCTAGTAAACTTAAAATAACAAAAATAATTAAAAATAAATACAAATAAAGAATGGATTAGGAGGAAGGGGTTATTTTTTTGTTAAGCTATTCTCTTTATTTTTATTTTTTTTGCATTTTTGCGTTTTTTGGGACCAAATCTGTCAAACTGTCATTTGGAGCTTTTTATATAGACATTCTTCATCTACGTTCAATCAGGGTTACCCCTGTATCCAGCCAGCTGTTGTTTAGGCCGTCTATCTGTAGTCCTTAGGTTTGGGTCGTAGTTTGTCAGCTTTCTTAGTAAATGGTTCGGAGGGTTTCTGAGATTGTCAAAGAGCACTTATGCATGTTCTTCCTTCATGTTCAGGACTCTCTTTTGCTGCGAATCCCCATATACGTACCTTAAAGGTACATACCTAGGAATTTTAAGAGCCTCCCTAATCATGAAGTTTGACTGTTTGAATTTTCTTTCTGTTTGTTTTACATGGATGTCTCCATGCCGCTGAGGCATATGTAAGAGATGGCATAATGATGGCG